GAAGAGTTTCTTTCAACTTTCTAAAAGGTAAATTTTTTTTTTTTTTTTTTTTTTTTTTTTCAAATGAGTACATACATTAGAAGATAAACGGAGATCATCAAAACCTAAAGAGAATATTCCCACAAAACATGCCCCAATTGGCTTGGACTGAAGTTAATCTAAATTTAGATTTGGGACACCAGATATTTAATCGATCATAACTTTTTGGTGAATTTAGATTTGGGCACACCATATAATAATGTAATAGAGAGGAGAAAGCATACAGTTGTGCCAGCAACAAGAGAAATCGCACTGCTAAGGCTTCCTGTGCATTGTCAGGGAGAAGAATGTGTCATTTACAATTCAAGAGAAGACAAAGTAAGAATGCAGAATACATATAAACAAATAGGTATTGTTATAAAGAATGTGAGCTATATCCTTGGCTAAGATTTTGACACCATGGGCCTTCTTTTATCTAAGAGAAGCCAGGATAGTGACACAAATAATGAAATAATAAAAAGGCTTCTTCTAAGAGAAGCCTCAACTGATTACGCAACGATTCAAAACCCAAAAAGTCTAACCTTTTCTCACACCATGCAGAAAAAAAATTGACCTTTCTTGAATATAAGATTTACCAGGTTCTCTATTCAGTGTGGCTTGATTAAGGTTAGAAAATAGCCTCTCAAATTCATACACTTCTTCATTTTCTTCTACAAGCTGCTGCTGCTCGGCGGGCTGTTTCTGTGAGAAACATTTTATCACAGCACGAGAAGAATAAGCAAAACAGTATCTCATTAACAATTTTTTTGTTGGTGGACGAGAATTCAAAGAGACCACTACAGAATTCGGGTTCTCGCTTTCATTAGGAGATGGAAATGATAATGGGAATTTGGGACTGCAAATTACAGCTGATGAAGATAAAGAAAAGGGCACCATTATATGAAATTTGTGATGTTCCTGTTCTTGATTTCTTCTTTAGGGATTTCTGTGATTTGATGAGCAGTTTGAAGGAACTAGAAGTGACGTGGCGTTTAGAAATCCAAGTTCTAACATTGGAAGATGATGTGGGGGCCATAAGCTAAAATAGGGCCTAGTGCAGTTTACAATAACTTCACATGATATGAAAGTGGAAGCGCTTCCTATCCGGGTGACATTGAAAAGGTTGTGAATTTCCAATGAATTTTTAAGGAAATTTGTAAGGGCGGTTTCAAATCTTTCAAAACAATAGGGCAGATAAATTCAAATTATTTAAAAAATGTACAGTAGAAAGACCTTTTTAGTCTTTATTTGAACCCCATTTTTCTCAAAAGTCATTTTTAACCACATATTATTTAGTAAAATAATATTATAGGCAAACCAAAATTTTTCCTGAATTTTTAACCACATTCTCCATAAATTACTATTTAAAAATGCATTCTTTCCATTAAAATGGGACTAAAACAAGAGCTTAATGTTCCCGTCCATAAATTTGAACAATTTTTAAAAAGACAAAATGGTATCCATTAATTAATTTTTCAAGGGAAATTTGCTGCGGGGATCCCAAAAATGTGTAGCACGATCCTAAACTTTTGATAAATGAGCACCAAAAGTACATTTTCATCCAAAAATCTATATTGACCAAAAGACTAGGAAGGTGCTTGACCTTGATCAATTTTAAAAATGACAACGTGGTCATTTAACACTTGTTTGATGGCCTTTAATTTGAAAAAAAAATTATGTTTTGAATAGTATTTTTGGAGAGTGTGTGATTGAAGGAATGATAGAAAAATCATTTCGACTCGATACCTCTAGGGCTCCCTTTTTAATGGGGGCAAGGACTACCCACCTAATTAGGTAAATGGAGCGAGATGGACGGGATGGGGATCGTTACCCGAAGCAAGTACGGGACGGATAGGAAAAACATGGTCCACACCCCATTTAAAGTTATTTTTTCAAATTTATGATTTTTATCAATATCATCATTTTTAAAGATAACATAAATTGTTCTTAAAAAAATTGGAAAAAAGAAGAAGATTATATTAATTGACTAAAGATGTACAAAAAATAAATGAAGCGATAAATGGGATAGGGGACCTGCCTTGACTTGATTCGAACTTGCCTCATCCCACTTTAATCGGGCATGAGAACAGGGCAAGATAACAAAAATACTCGACAGGACAATGGACAGGAATGACTGGCTTGGCCTGTTGTCATCTCTAGGTTAAAATTAGGAAAAAAAAAAATTGGATTTATGTATAAAATATTTTATTATGTAAATTTGTGATTGAAAATGAGTATGAGAAATAAATTAAATTAAAAGCCACCAAATAGGGCTTAATTAATTGAAACAACTGAAAAAAATAATAATAAATAAGTAGATAAATAAAAGGTATTCATCTTACCAATCTATCCAACCCCACTCACTGGTAGGTTGAGAGGCCTCCGTCACTGTTGATTTTGAAGATGATTTATTTGTCTTTATCTATTTCCTTCTAATTCTTGAAAGATTCTTGTTAAAAGGAGGATTTGGATGGAAAAAATGAGATCGACGGATGTGAGATATTTGGAGTTCGAAGAAACGTTGCCATTATCAAACAAATTTCTGCTTGGCATCCTATAAAAAAAGCCCACAACGACAACCATACCAGCAGAAATCAAAATTTTCCATAAGGTAATGGCAGTTTGCAACAATAAAATAAGAAAGATGATCTAAGAATAAACCAAAGAAACTCAGATGCTTGTTCCATTAAGATAGACCGTTCATAAAGCGAAACATGGGCAAAGCATCACACGAACCAGCACAAACAACAATTCAGCAAATTTTTAGTTCTATTTCACTCTACTATTTTTTATTCTCACTCTCCTCTCCATTCATACTAGAGGGAAGGGGAGGAAATGAACTGTCTAGGTACACTGAACAGGTCTCTCTCTTCGAAGGGAGAAGTCCAATCCCGAGAAACACTAGCAGTCGTTTCAGATGTGGCTACCCGATCCTGCAACCCTGAAATCGAAATGCCATTCCCATTGGATAAAACAGGTCTCTTGGTAGACATTCCTAGACCGTAGGCGAAAGAACCAGATGCACTAGTGTTGTTTTGCATGAAAGGGTTTGTACCAGACCACAGCCCTCCGGGCTTCAACCTAGACCCAATATCCAAACTCCAGTCTATGCTGGCGAAATCTAACTGTAACATTGAGCTGCCTGTATTCCAGTCTACTGGAGATGACGATCCAGAAGCACCGTTAGTGCCCAGACCAGAAAAGAGTCCAAGGGAAGTAGCAGCAGATAGAATTGGTGATGTACCTGCCTTATTCCACAAACTGTTCCCCCGGGATATTCCTCGGGAATCCATTGCGCTCCTGCTGGACACAAATTGCTCCTGAGGTTGGTAATGCAGTTGGTTATACAGCCGAGTTGAACTAACTCCATTGGGGCTCACACTCCTTGTGACAGTAACAGGTGGGACCAAGCCAGCACTAGTTGGATACCAACCCACAGCTGTCCCAGGCGGAGATGAGCTAACACTTGGAGTATGTATGTGCTTTGCATTCAAGGATTGAGGTCGCTGCATCACTATAACAGGTTCTCTAACTGATCCAAGCTGCAGGTTCTTAATTTCGTTACCAGCAACATAATGTGCTTCTGTTGATGGAGGTGAAGCCAGCAAAGGTGATGTTAACGAGTAGGGCATAGAAGGATTTGATCCTGCACTCAGCCACCTTTTCTCCGCCGACTCTGAACTGTGCTGTGGTTTTGTTAACTCGACTTTCGGTTGCATTTTCTTTAACGACTGTACATTTTTGGTTCCAGATTCTACAGAAGATCCTACCGTCCCAGGAACTTTGGTATAATAAAAATCTTTTTCATCCCTTTTCTGTTGTATGGTAGTAGATGAAGCCGGATTTTCTAGTGCCCTCATTGCATTCTGACTAATAGCTATTGGTAGATAGCCATTGCCAATAGAAGGACAATCACCAGTTTCTTCCGGCTTTGAAGGACCAGCAGGGAGCTCCTGCTTCTGTGCCTTCAAGGTTTCTTCTGCCTTTACAAGATCACCCTCACAGGCAACAACAACTCTTTCAACCTCCTGCTTGGAGGCTTTATACTGTATTTCCATATCTGTAATGCAGGCAAGCTCTTCTGATATATCAATTTTCAAATTACCCCCTCCATCAAGATTTTTTCCCCTGTGCTTGTCTTCTTCGCCTACTTCAAACAGCCAAGCTACTGACTCCTCTACTTTGCCTTCATTCAGAATAAGAGCCATGGTTGCCCTTTCTTGAGAGAAGCCCATGGCCACAAGTTGTTGTGCAAGTTTTTCTAGCTTCCTTGACATGAGATAACCACTGCACCGTTCATGCAACTCTTGAGCTCGCCTCTCCTTTTGTCTTTGATGTTTCCTCTCATTTTTCTGGCGTATTTTGTCTCTTTTGTCATTGTCAGCTCCAGGTACTGATTCCTGATGCTGAGGGGTGTGCAACATTTTCTCTTTTAGGTCCTCTGACTCACCAGAGCAGCTACCAGTATTGGAAACAGAATCATATTCCACGCCAGTTCCAAATGTGTTCCCACTATGATCGTCCGTTTCATCTATGTTCTGGAAACGACCATTCAAAGGAAGCTGACCTGCAAAAGACACTGGTGCCGTCTCAAATGTATGGAATGTTCCTAAAACAGGATTGTATCCATTAGCCACGACCCCACCGGGTGCAATAGCATGACCTGACTTTGAAGAATCCCTGGGGGATTCCTTCCCAGCCTTTTTGTCTTTGGACTTGGATCTGGATGCTGGAGACATATCCTCAACTTAACTGCTAGTTCCTGCAGCCAAAAAGGATAAATCTAATTAAAAATCAAGATATGCAAACTTCAAAGATTGAAGCACAGAAGCATTGAAGGTTTACAAGAGCATTCTATTGCATTCCAAGCAAAAGAATCAGTTTGCTGTATTAGCAAGTACATTGTAAATATTAACATTTCTTAGATTGAAATGTACATGGAACCGCATGCCAAGTAAAACGAAAAACATCTTTTGGTCATAACAGGCTACATATAGAAAGAAAGAACAGAACAGGACCAATTGTTAGGAGCATACACATAATGAGTTGGCAGCTGCTTGTGCGCATCTGTGAGCAGAGTAATCACAATTGGTCCTAAACTCATGAAAATAGAAAAATTTCTCCATATTCTTCCATTGGACCATTTCACGAAGACAGTAGACATGGAGAAAATGCAAAAGGTGAAATAAGTTTTTATTTAATATTAGCTACAAATAATAATTAATTAATTAATTAATTATATCCTTTCCCAATTATGAATAGTTGAACCCAATATTATATTAGAAAGTTGAACCTAAAATATCACAAATGCATCTTTCAGCAGACAAGATATTTGAACCACCTCTGAAAACAGTATCAAATCTAGAGCCCTTACTCGTCCAGAATGGAGATGAAAACAAATATATAACTTGAAAAAATGTTGATGAAAGCCATCTCTTAAGAAAAATGTAATAGAAACTCATTTTCCTCTTGAGAGTTTGCTCTTAAGCAGTTAAGCCAAAGCCAAAACAATAATGCGAGAAATTTTTTATTGCCGTATAAGCTATTCAAGAAATGCAAGAAAGAACGTTCAGTAGTTCCCACTGCTATGGGCCTATGGCTTATTGTGGTTTATGGAACTTCCTCATGCTGCTGGGAAGAATCCATACGAAAAGCCAGTGCGATAATTTTCCTCTAAGCAGCTCTATTTCAATATATCGTTGCCACTGACAACTAAGCCGAGAGGGAAACGCACACCACCAATGCATCTACCATCTTTTATCTCTCTAACCATCAAAAACACTACGGAATCATCCTTCTGGATTCCCTTATTGACCTTCAATTTTAAAAGTCCCACCACATTTTGAAAGCCAACAATCTTAAATCGTTTTCTTTCTACCACCACTTGCCCATATTTTTCCACTCACTTCTAATATATGCATATAACGTACATCAATTCTATACGAAAATGCACCCATAGGAGTAAGAAAAGCAACATGAAGGCCTCTTGCAGATCAGGAATAATTCAAAGATGAAAAAATCAACATTCAAAAAACAAGAACAGAAAAAATAAACCCACAATTCAAAGCTTTACAATGAGCCCGTAATCAAAATCAAGCAAAACAAACCAATTAAAGTAATAATAAATAAAGCATGAGCCTCTCTCCCGATCGATTAAAAATTAGGAAGCGCAAGGGTGTGGCCTAACCTGGAACGGATGGATCGAGAGAAAAATGTTCTCTGTCGGTTCAATTAAAATTAAGAAATGGATGTTTGGATTAAATTATTTGCAAGATACACACAGCGATAGAGTGACAGATTGGGTAGAGAGATATATAGATAACTAATGCAAGGCTGAAAAACGAAACTGAATCAAGATTAGGGTTTTTTTGGCTTTCCTTTTCAAATTTTCGATATTTTCTCTTGTTTCGAATTAGGAATGAATTTGCGTAAATAAGAAAGTAGAAACAACGGAATGGCCACGCATTACGGCTGAGATATGATCATGTACTTCTAGAATATATATGCTGTTGTACATTACGGAAATATTATGCCCTTTCTTCATAGTACAAGTTAGTAAAGCGAGTATTTTTCCGTGGCCCGTTGCAGAAGATTTTTCCATTAAGGCGCGGATGTTACAAAATAACGGAAGGTTACGTCAAAATAAAACCGTAACGGAAGGGACACCTGAGAGAAGGAAAACAATAAAATTAACGAAAAATTGGCATTCACCGACGTTATTCTTCATCTCCCTTTCGTTCTATTTCAAATGGGAGTCCTTAACTTTCAATCTTCGTATATTTTAACCCTTATCATGGATTTTGGATTTCGTCTAATAATTCATTAATTGGTCATGTGTCTCGAACACGAGTAAAAATATTTAATTGGCTTATTCATAGGTTGAGAACTTCCTCCCATTTTTAATATTGAGGTTGAAAATAAAATCTACAGTGTACGGAATTGCAAGTAAGGGATGTAGAAGGGACGAGAGGAAGAAGGTAGAGATGCAAAAAGAATGGAATGAGAGGATAGAGAAATGGGGAGGAGTGAGACTAAAAGGAGAATGATCAGATCAAAGGCTTGAGACGATTGCAAGAATAGAAAAGAAAAATAAATTGACATTTTTTTAATTATTATTATAGAATGGTGGCTAGGTGTCAATTTGTCTAAGATTACATGTATAGTAAATGAATAATGAAATAATCATCCTTCCACAGTATTTTATGAGGAACTTGGAAGAAATGATCAAATTCGACAACCTATTTTAAATTTTTTTTCATTACATCGTATTTTAATTATAATAAATATTTTTAATCTTTGCTCATTTTCGTACTTATATCATCAGCTTTTATCGTCAAGAGTGCAAAATATAACAATGGAATTATATGGCCTCCCACTTGAGCCATTATTACCAAGTTATTTAGTATTTTCTATCGCTTGTTTCATATGTATAACATTGAATTGGCAGGTCAAACAACGAAGTCCAACCTTAAAATAAAATCTTAAATGAGACAAAAATATGTAAGACATAATTAATCGAGACTTGTAGGGCATTTTACATGATGATACAAGCTATTGGAGCATTGAATAGAACTCACGAATTAGATTTTTTGACTTTCTTTTTGTTTCTTTGATATCATCGAAATCCTCTCTAACATACTAGTTTTGATTACTATCACAATACAATTATCTCCTAACAATACATTTAGTTTCCACCAACCAATGAAACCGTAGAAATTTACTTTCTTGAATGACCAAGACATCAAGTTAGATGAGAATTAGCACGGTCTACCGCTCATTCAACAATCTCATTGGTTTTTTACTTAACAATAACTCAGGAAGCATATGCATATACAAAGGGCATGATCGGTAGCATAAAATTAGACGACATAAACTCGAATCAAGAAAGCTGCTTCAATTTCACATTGCCAAAAACTAGCACAACTCCATAAGTTATTTTAAAGAGATTACTACCATAGAATCAAGGCTGCACATTTATTTTACTAAGTTTAGACACTATCAAACATCAGCAAGCCTGTATATTTATCTTACAAAGTAAATCTGCTATAGGAGTTACCAATTACAGAACAGATTTAGGCATCACCAACAAGCTTGAATTCTTGCAATTCCTTGAAGTCCATCCATGGCTTGACCCACACCTTAGCTTCGTACACTTTCTTCTTGTCCCCGTCTACAGCCTCCAGGGTTATATAGTACATGGTCCCTGCCACTACCTGCTCTTTCACATTCACTACCTTCTTGAATTCCAAAAGTGTATTCTGCAACCACAGAGTGTAGGAAAAATAAATGAGTTTTGAGACTTAAAATCCAACATTTCAAACAGCCATTATTCATTCCCACAAAGAAAGGAACATGTGAAATTATGGCTTGGGATCTGTTAGTTAAGTTTTAGACTCGGATCGACCTCTGCGGTGAGTTTTTTCCTGTAAACTTCTTTTCAGTGAATTGCTGCGGCGGCAGATGAAGGCTTTCTCACCTTTGAGTCGAAATTCTATAAACCATGAGTGTTCTTATTTGTCAATTTACTGCTATTTTATTCCTGAATCAACATTTTAGTTTCCTAGCTCTTTTGTTGAAATTCTGATATTAGATATTAATAAATCCAATTTAAAAAAAAAAAGAAGGTAATTATAATCGATAAGATGTAACAAGAGTCATGAAAGCCCATTTGAAGATTAACAAAATTAACCAAAAAAGGGGTAAAAAAAAAAAAAAGCACAGAAAACCTGTTTTTTGTTGTGTTCATCAACGGCAAAACGAGCGAGATCTTCGATCTCAAGGCTATTCTGAGATCCTTCACTCGGGCGAATTCCTCCAACTGTAGCCATTCTCACAGAAAACTGAAAAATCTAGCAAAGAAAACTCCCTTTATCTTCTTTTGGTGTGTGAATAATTGAAGGCAGAGAATCCAGTTATTTATATAGAGATCGGGGGAGAGTGAAAAGACGCGTAAATTCAAATCCTGAAATTCATTGTTTGTTTTTGACTTGTCCATTTCCGTATTTTCGTTGATGACTTAGCCAAGAAGTAATAGAGAGGGGAAGTACAATACAAGGGCAATGGCCCATTGTTTTTTAACAAATGGAACATTTTCGAAGTGTGGACCATTTTTATGGGATAAGATTTTGTACTTTGGATTTCTTCATTGAAAATATGAACATTTATTGTTTTGAAATTAAATTTTATAATTCATGAATACACTGAAATGTGTTTACAATGTTTCAATATAATAAGTTAAGCTTATGTATGGTCCCGATAGTGTTGCATAAAATTGATTCTCTCCACAATGGTGTGAGTTCCTTTTTATCTATTAACGTATTGTGATTAGGGGTGACAATCAAGCTGACCGCTCGGCTCGTAAAAAAAGGCACGTTGATTGTTTGGGCTCGTATTTGGACGAGCCCGAGCCGAACCCACCCGGCTCATCCATAGGCGGACGGCTCATGGGCCCTTGCCCACAAGCCTAAAGTTCATGAGCCCATGAGAGTTAAAAAAAGGGAAGAAAAGAGTCAAAAAATAAAAAATCTCTAGCTCGTCGACTAGGCTCGTGAGCTCACGAGCTCGTGGGTTGCCACCCCTAATTTGTGACGGGCACTTCGGATATGAAAGAAACAAACTTTCAAATTAATTTTTGACCTTTTGTTGTAGAGTCTATTTTACCGTTTCTTGAAATTCAAATATGGGAAAGAATTTGACACAATTGAGAGGGGTGATTCAGTCCTTTGACACAATTGTCAATGAGTATATATGATAATTAGATGAATAGTAGAGATATCCTAGTTAGCCTACAAAAACAAATTGATTTGTGGGCTTCTTCTTTTATAAATAAAGCCCCTGTTTGCCCACATTCTCTTCTCCAACCACACAATATCCCATAAAATAATATTACATATAAATTAAAAAAATTTCATTTTTTTTCAATCAAACATTTTTCAATAAAACATGATTCCAACTATTAAAATTTGAAAAGAATGAGGCCAAACGGGGGCAAAAATATCATATCTAGCAGAGTGTGACTCTCTTTGCTTAGCCCCCGCTTGGCACCTATTAATTTTCATTCCATTACATTTCATTTTTTTCTCTTATATTTTCAACTCCACAATTTTTCATAAAATAATATTATATATAAACCGAAAACTTTTCATTCTTTTTCAACCACTCATTTAAAAAAAAAAAAAATACTATTCCACCAATTTTCATTTCCACAAAATGGGGCCAGACGAGGGCTGAATGCAATGATTTGTCTGATATTATGTTCTTTTGAATAATCTCAATCGTGGTTTTTATCGATTGTACTCTCAAAAATTTTAATAAAATGATCCACCAAATTACTCATTTGGCATGTCAATTCTGGAATCAAGTCTCTTGGTTAGATAATTTTCCAATTTTCATGTCGTCAATATTAGTGTGATGCTCAAAATAAAAACCACAGTATTGCTTATATTAGAAGAAATGGAACATTTCAAACCTATAAATTTTATTTAATACAATGTACTTGAGCACATGGATTCCAATCACGTATTTCTACTTTAGGTGGGTCACATTTAACTGTGCGTGGCCCATTTCAAAGGCCATTCTTGCGTTAATTTTTGGGCTGCATAAGTTAGGTTTGGCCCATTGTTAAACGGACTCTAAATGGAAGAGTGTCTTTCATCCGTACATTTTCAATTCCTGCAACTTCTCTCTCTCTCTCTCTCTCTCTCTCTCTCTCTCTCTATTGTATCCCTTGCCCCCCACGACCACTTCTTTTTCGCCCGATCAACCTTCTGTGTAAGATCCATTTTCACAACTAGTTTTCATCGTTCCTCCGTTTTGCACCCTTTATTTTTTTATAGGATGCAGTTAAATTAATTTCTAATTTTATTATACTAACTTCAAATTGTGCAAATTTTTTGGTGAACAAAAAAAAAATAATAATAATAAATATTGGTACTTAAAATGGAAATTATATATGGGTTCCCCCTGTTTATGGTGTAGAGAAGGAAGAAGGGTTTTCACATGAAACTTCTATTAGAACAGTTACATAATTTCTGTATAAAAAAAAAAATATTGAACCCAAACCTTAAAGGTCTCCCACCACCCCGTCCCTGGAGCATCGTGAGAGAAGTTAATCGCGGAATGTGCCCCAACAGGTCAGGGAATAAAAGCTATTTGTACACTGGTACCTATAAAGAGTCTCAATCTATATTTCAAAAATCGAATCATCACACTGCAGTTGCTATCAAGGCTGAATATACCTCATCCTATATATGGGTTCACCCTGGTTATGGTGTAGAGAAGAAAGAAGGGTTATAAATCTTTGCTACAGTGATGTTTTTCACGGGAAACTTTTATTAGAACAGTTACATAATTTCTATATATATATATATAGATATGCTGGCAGTTAGCATATTAGTTTGTAGTTCAGTCAGTTGGTGCTTGGCGCTTATTTATAGCACGTTAACAGATGATATAGGAAATATTAGTTTGGTCCCAACCTTTAAAATTAAAATACTTAATTCTGAACCATAAGTTCCGTTTGCATTTCATATTTTTTACATAATTCTATTATTATAGCATTATTTTCCTTATGTGAGATGCATAATCATGAGTTTTTGATGCATAAAGTTGGCAAAACACCATGCTGAATCCAACTTTATATAGACGTCATCGATTCCCTTTTATTTCTTGTTCTCTTCACTATTTTATTTGTATTTTTCTGTACTGGTAACCCAAAGTTGATTACTTGTACGTTTGTTAACAAAGTTTTTGAACAAAATATATAGTTTTATTGTTTTCTTCAAATGTCGCTCTCTTTCCTAGCTATTACTACGCCGCCGATTACCAATTATAGCAACCCCCCCCCCACTCCGGGCGGCACTCGGCCACTGCATATCACATTTGTGGAGGTTTTATTTTCGATGACAAGGGAATTTTATTTTGTTTGATTCATGAGGTGCCACTTGCAACCGAAACAAGTATGTCCCAAATAAAAACCCTCATCTTCTATTAAGGTTTTCCTTCGAATCCTGGACGCAGGTGGCCATTATCTAATTACGTTTTTAACTTTTTCACTGACATGATGATGAGATCTTTCTGTGGATATTACAGGATAAAGATGCCCAGTGCATGTTTGGGTTGGAATTGTACTTTCTTGATTGCTTACACTGTGCTGTGGAGGGGCATACAAAAGCAACGGCCGAATGGCTATGGTTATTTTTCCTTTCGTTAATTATATCTATCTGAAACTCTTTGGAGGTTCTTCCCCATCCCGATCCCGTCCCCAGCACGTTCACCAATGCATAAAGGTTGATTGATAGGGAATATTTGGGAGAGTGTGCGCTTGTGTTTGTAGTGTGAATTTTGCCTGCTGTAGGGCATGTACAAGCCACTCACATGCTTGAGTGAGTGGGTGACTAATTTAAAAAAAAAAAAAAAATTTGCCCACCCCCATGCATTGTGAATGGCTTGTACAAGCCCTGTGAAAACAGGGTCTATACAACCAGCAGAGTTCTTGTAGTGTAACCAATAAATGACTACTTGTATGATGAACAATTTGAGATACGATATAATTGATATAGCGAAATCAGGCCTTGAAACTGAACATAAGCCCGCTATTGCTTCACCAATAATGATACTTGTACTCTAGTGTACACCATTACACTGTGATTAAAAAATTCGTGAACCGCCTCTCATGTGAGGGGGTTATATACTAGAGTACATGTAGCATTTCTCATTGCATGGAGCATTTATATGACTGCTTTCTTCCATCATCAAAACGCAGCTAATTCTGCTGCTTATCTTGTAGTTTGCTTCTGAACTGTATGCAACAAATCTTCAGGCAAATTTTGTAGAGTTCTATGATCATTTTGCTACCTTATTTTCGTTGGGTGACATGTTACCCATTGTACACTGAGCTTCAATAGGTTCTTTTCTTTACTTTCCTATTTAAATGTTCTCTGTTAGTATTAGTGTATGCGTAAACTGTAATACGTAGTATTACAATTGGACGAACAAAATTTTAGTCTTTGGTATTGTTCTAAAGTATTATTTATTTTACCTCATCAAATTTTCTTCGTACTTGAAAATGATCCACTTTCACGTTCGAGAGAACGTGTGATAAAAGAATATTTCTTATCAAATAGATCCGTGGATCAACACTCCAACCATCAAAGTAGCCATGACATACAATATAAACAAAGAAGTTGAGGTGAAGGGCCTCGCTGATGGGTTTTATCTCCTACTGGTTAAACTTTACTGAGGAATGAAAAATTGATAATTAAAAAATGGTATGCCAAAATATTATACAATATACAATTTGTTATTTCGACTAAAGGTATTTTTGTCTTTTTAATTATTTATAATGACATAATTAAAATTTATTCGGCAAATTATGTATTTTGTAATTCAAACGCGAAATGTAGTATGTACTATATAAATTTGGCCTGGCTGAGTCTTCCACCAATTCTACTTTCAATTCCATTTCAACCAAATCCCAGCTTCAACTGGCCTTAAAAATGTCAGAATCACTCGCTGAACTACAAAATCTTAAAGATTTTGTGGTTAAAAAAGGCAATGGAGTAAAGGGCCGCTCCCAAACAGACCTCAAAAGCATCACAGTACATCCAGCCCCCTGAAGAAAGACTGGAACAAACCCTAGACGAAGCACAAAAATTCATACCCACAAAATTGATGTCCAAATGGGATGAGCCAGAAGTTGAAGATTCAATCTGCAGAGCAGCAGCCCACACAGATTTCTTTCCCAATTGAGGTTCTTTCGGTTGCCAGTTGAGGAAAGAAGGAAAAATTCACCTTCTCCAACTGTACAGTTGAGAACCACTTCCAGTCTTCTAGTTGAGAAGGTTGTGGAGTGGAAATATTATCTTTTCCATTTTTGTGATGATCAAGAAATTGATGACTCGAAACTCTGACATTCTGTGTCCAGGTGAGTTTTTTGTGGATTCATCTTCGCTTATTTAGATGTAAGTTCATCTTAGTAAAGGCAATCCATTTGATTCTTCTGTAAATTATTCTTGCTTGATAGATTAGCCGCTCATTCTATTTTGGACTAACTGATTCCATTTTCCACCTAAATACTGTGTATTGTTAGGGATACCGTGCTACTAATTGAGAAAACCAATTTTCAGTAAAATTCCATTCTGATAGAATTTGCTCATTTACAACTCTGGATTCTTCGTTTTCAGTAAATATATGTGGTTGTATGCTTACCAGGCCATTCTTGACTAGGCAAAATTTTGTTACTCAATTACAGAGATCAAGTTTTGGAGTACATACAGTGGACAAAACCCTTATTCAGTAAAGGCCGTGATGGTAAGAAGACAATTGTATGTGCAAAAATATGATGTAACAGAAATGTGATGGCATTATCAATGGTCTTTGTTAGTCCCAATTCATAATATTGTCCAATGGTCTTTGTCGGCAAACAAGTTCTAACATTAATAAATAAGATCATCTCTAACAACAGGCAAAATGAAAAGTGGAATACATTCGACCCAGTTAAAATGAAGTTAATTCCAGTAAGATATGACTACAAGAAGCTCTTTACGAAGCAGCCATTTATGTCCAAGAAACTCAACTTCGCATTTTTCATCCAGATGATTTCTAATTTTCCATACTTCAATTATAATATAAAGCCAAAACCATTCTATGATAGCACAGATAGACTGCAGAACGACTTAATTCCACTACAAACATTTCCAATTCATGGTACAATGAAACTTGGTGCGTAAAAAACTTTTGAATTAAAATCATTAAATTCTACAAACAATCCCCACTAGGAAAATGACAATCTCAATTTCCCAAGTGCTAGTCAAAATTGGTGTTCTCTCCTTAACCCTCGAAGACAAAACAAAAGCACAGAGGAGACTAAGCAAAGGCATGAAGGAGAGCAACGACGACACAGAGAATATAAATACGAAATGAACACATGCACAAAGAAAAAATATTTAGTGGAGGAAGGCATACTCATGACTTTTATTTCTTGGCCAAAGACTCCGCTTTATATTCACTTCCAGCAGTAACCACGAAGCCTGCTCCAACCTGAAATGACGGTGCACAGAATTATATCAAGAAAAAAGACAGATATATGTGTGTGTGAGAGGGAGAGGGAGAGGGAGAGGGAGGGGGAGAGGGAGAGAGACCTGACAATCCTTCAAAATGACACGCTCTTGGAGCTGTACATTACTGCAGATAACAGAACCTTGGATGGAACAACCATCTCCAATAGTGATATGGTCCATAATAACAGAACTGACAACCTGCAAATGTATAGAGCCGAACATTTCAGTAGCTAATAACTATTTGTCCAGAAAACCTACAACTGCATGATTGAAAATTATTATTCTCTCTTTATGTGCAGAATGAACATCCCTGATTTTTATTTTTCTTTTTCTTTTCTCACATGCTTCGTGGATGGTGCTCACAAGGTAAACTCGATTATTCCTGATTTTTTTTTTCTTTACTGAAACCTAATTATATACCTTCACATTTGAACCTATCCGACAATGACGGCCAATGACAGATTTTTTAACGCTGCACTTGTCGCCCATCTGTGAACCATCCCCCAGCATACATTGTGGTCCCACCTAAATCAAAATCATTTAATCAAACATAGAGTGATAATCCTCCAGAACAAAAGCGTACAGAAGAACCTAAATATGCTGCAAAATTTAGTTAAGATCATTCATATATAGACTATTACATGTATATAAATACAACTCACCGTGGTTTTAGATCCAAGTACAGCAGTGGGATGAATTACGTTGTTCTGAGCAGAAAAAGAATAGCCTGATAGGTGATTTGCATCTCCTACTACCTGATCCACTTAAGATTTGACATCAGCTCATAGAATAAAAAGTTAAGAACGATTTGAGGCAAACAGAAATATAACATGGAGCGAAACTTCCAAACATGAAACTCACATCACGGTTTATGTCGCTAAATGCTTGAATGGAATTTAAGCGCGCACAATACTTGCTCTTGTTCGCAATGTAAACACAACATTTATGAGTTTTCCTTGTAATTGAGGAAGAACCATCGGGACCCAAGGCATAGAGTTCATGAAAACTTGGTGTAGATGCATTAGCCAGAAGTTGAGATGGCAAGATTTTAGCATTCTGCATAGCATCCTTACTATTGCCATTTTCGTCTGATTGGACTCCATTTGACAGTAATTCAGATCTCTGACATGTCATCAAGATTATGAACAATTAGAACTTGGCAAAAAATCCAACTTCATATCTCCTAAAACAAAATTATCAAGCGTAAAACACTAACCAGCTGGCTCCTAACAAGATAGGGCAATACATCACGTCTCAAACTTTGAAAAGTTTCCTTTTGATTAAGAACATCTTGCAGAACAGATCTATGAAAAAAAAAAAAAATTAAGCGAACAATTAGTAAAATTCGTAGCTGATTGAGTTTCAAACAAAGAACAAGAACTCATTTAGATGCGTTGAGCAAAAACTCAAACCTCTTGAATGCATACATATGAGCATCCATTAGATCAGCACGAATTTCCATCTGCATTAGGAAGAACCGAAAGAAATGAGATAAGGAAGAAAAGGAAACTTCATCAATAATTTGCTAGAAACTTATAAAGCTTCAGCAACTTTTTTTGCTGGCCACTGTCCACGCAACATAATATTGACTTAAGAAAATTTCTAAAAATGATATTGGATTAGTTGTGAGACTTTTCAAACTAAATTTAATGTATAATTTCAACTTCCTGTACTACACTGAACCCCAATACCCATGTCAAATGAAGAGAAAGGACTAAAATATTTAAGTGTTTCCATGTCACATCTCCCAGAATTTGAAGACCGACACATATCTATTCCCCAAACCATGTCCTGGTAGCTTGGAAAAAATTGTCTTGAGGGATTTATTTTCTATTGAACAGCAGTGGATTGGCAGAGGAAACTATCTACCTGGCTGACAGCTCGGAGAATGCTCTTCTGGACTCGAATATCTTTCTCAACTTCAGCTCCTATCACAGAAATGCTTAGTGAGGGAAATTTCTAATCACATAACATTTAGAAACAAGTGGATATTTTCAAACATCTCACCAGCAGCTATATGCAATAGAAATTGCTTAGTTGGGTCTAATGCTATAATGTTATACCGTCCTGGTTTCTTAGCTTTGTCCTTTGCACCAGAGGAACCTGAATCAGATGGTCCGCTGGCAGGAGCAGTGCAAAGCAGAGCAGTTACTACAGCATCATGTCGTCTGTGAGTAGCTGCCACTGCCCCAGGGGGAACATCACAAACCAAATCACCACTCACAACCTACACAAGGAAACATGTGAATTACTGAATCAATACAGTGCTAGCAAACTCGAAGGCCAAAGTAGCGAAGAATTCCAACCAAGATGTCCTTTGCAGTCAGTCTATGATCAATAGCTCGAAGAGCACCAGCTGTTCCAACATCCTCGGGAACTGCAGCCACCTGCAGTAGTTATATCATAACCACGCTAGTTGTGAGAAAAGTTTAGATAGTCAAGCTATGAGTAGAATCATCTGATTTCAAAGTGTATCAAGATACGACCATTGCGCTTCACTTCATATGAAAAGGTTTATCAGGAGTAGAAAAATGATAATAGTATATAAGGTAGCAAAAATATCATTAGAAACCTGGTACAAATAAAACTGTTCCAGTTGGAGTTGGAGTGGTTTTGAGGCTAGGATTCAGAAACCCCACTTGGCTAAAAAAAATTCCTAGGAAAAAGAGAAACTTTCCTAAACTCACCATGATTCATAAGAGTGATATGATGTTTATGGAACAAGTTAATAGATGGAGGGGTAAACCAGTAAACCAAAAGTGACAAGACCGATTTGCTCACTAGGAACATAGTAGCATTGGAATAGATGTATCAATGAACCGAATGGTATGGTGAAAGTAGATTCATATAAACAATCTATTTTAAACATTGAAACACAATTGGTCGATTAATCTCATTGAAAATTTGTAGCCCCGTATCTGCATCTTCCCAAAATTGTAAGGTTGTTAATTGTCTTGACTATGCCTCTCTCTCGTTTTGTTTCCTCAGAAAGAAACAGTATTAAAATGTTCGACATTCTCTTCTCTTGTTCGTAGCTACTGAACCAACTACAAAGAGAGTCATTATAGGCTTTCTAACGAAAGAAATAGGTAGTTAGTAGAAACCGAATCCAAGCTCACAGTTGAATACCTTACCAACTCTCTTCATGATAAATGTTAGGGTTCATTTGCAAACTACTCAAGTTTGAACTTACTTATGTAACTTAATTTATAAAAGTATCTATCTTTTCCTTCTTTTATTTACATAACGCTATGCGCGGAAACAGTAAACATCAGTCAAAATTCACCTCAACATGTAATCGATCAATATATGTGCCGGAAATCCAAGCACTGACAGAATGCGCTGCGGTTTCCCCTTCAACAACCTAAAATAAAAAGAAAACTCAATTTTACAATTTCCCCTTAGAACCCATCAATACCGACTTTGGTTCAAAACAAAAAGTAAAAAAGGGTAAAACAAAGCAACAGTGACATACCACAATAAGATCTTTAAGGTTTTTCTGCTCGAGAAGATCGATAACATAAGACAGAACAGGCCTGTTTGCCACCGGCAATAGGGCTTTCGGCACCTTCTGAATTTTTTTTCCAATTGGGTGTTATTTTTTTCGGCACATAATGAAAATAAATGAATATTACAAACAAGTAACATGGGCATTCATGAGAGTAACCTTAGAAACGAGAGGAACCAAGCTTTTCGAAAAGCCGCCCGCTAACACTACCACTTGAAAATCCATTCCTCTTGCGATTTCCATACAGAGCTCTCTACCAGTCCGCGTGTGGGCAGAAGAAGAGATCAAAATAAGATTCAACAGATGTGATTTTCAATTTTGAGCGTGTACCGTTCTAATCTTGCGCGTTTGTGTATGTTTTGTGTAGTTTTAGGAGCTACAGAGGTTTTACGGAAGTGATAGGCGCATGTCCACTTAATTATAATTAATATATTTAAAATAGAGCCATTGACACAAAGGGGATGTAGCTCAAATGGTAGAGCGCTCGCTTTGCATGCGAGAGGCACGGGGTTCGATCCCCCGCATCTCCATTTTCGTTTTTACTTACCTGCTTTTCTAGAATTGAGGGAAAAGATTAACTTTCCTTAAATAAATTTCCCTCACTATCGATTTTTGTACCCTTTTTTTTTTTTTTTTTTCCTCTCTCTCAAAAGATTCATTTAAGAAGAGTACTGTCAATATTTTGACGTCCTTCTCTCCTATCTCCAATTTTTAAGAAGAAGTGCATCCATATCTCCTAAAAATTTTCAAGCTTTTTTATTTTTATTTTTTGTTGACACATAAAAATTCAGCCCAAATCGAACAGCCTAGAGAATAAAGCCCAATTGGAGGATCCCCAAATCAGATAGCCCAAAGAACGAAATTCAATTGAACGAATCAAGGTGAATGCCCAAATAAGGGGCCCAATAGTGCGGTAACGCCATCGTCCAAGTTTGTAAGTCGCTCAGAGTCTGAACGAATAGAGTGGCATACGGTCGTCCAAAGTCTCGCCCAAATCTTCAAGTCGCCCAAGGTATCAACAAGCATAACGCATTATGATGCAGTTATTAAGGCAGTTGCTAAAGTAACTTTATCACGTTCCACGACTCAAGGGATTCAATCGAAAGCGGTTGAACGATGCAAGATAATGGCAGCAGTTAAAAGGACAGTTGCATGACAAAATGGCCACTACAAAGAAAGTGGATAGTTGTAGGGCGATCAAGCAGTTTTTTAGAGCAGTTAATCACAAAGGGATCGCCTATGAAGTATAAAAGGGAGAAAGAACTTAGAAGTAAAGGACCGAATCCAAAACTCTCGAACAGAGAATATGTAATTTTCATTCCTTTAGCTTTTAGACTTAAACATTTCCTTTTCTGTAACTCGTGTGCTTGCGCCCCTTGGAGGCACGTTGTTTTCCGTTTCCAATTGGAAAGTTCATCGCCAATAAAAAGAACACCCCTTTTTGGGACTTTGTCTCAAGAGGTTTCGTCCCTTACACAATCGTCTGATCCTCTTTAATTGTTAGCGAATTAAACCGCGCGAAACAATTTGGCACGCCCAGTGGGACGGTGGTGTTAGGTGTTGAAGGTGCAAAAGGTGAAACAATATGCCTCAGAGATCCGACAAGGAAGGAGCAAGTCAGGGAGGAATCCAGTCTGTAATCGAGCGATATGAGGAGCAACATGCCTCTCCACGAACAGATGGACAAAATCAGAGCAGTAACAGTCGTTACGAACCAATGACGAAGCTGAGTCCTTGAACCATGCGTGCATTACTTGGAGAACTCACGCAAGAC